TTTCTTGTTTTGAGACAACTAAGAAAGCATAACGGACTCATATTAATTCCTGAATCTTGCTTAGCTGCCTTACTCCCTTCACAGTGCACTAGTCACCGTTGACCATCTTTTGGTACTGGATAGGATAAGATGGTAGTGCTATGAAATTGGTCCCCTCAAATTTCTCTAAGAATGAACTTTGTCTATTACAGGTTCCCAGTGCACAAACTACCAGCTCTGAAGGAGAAACCTTTTAAACTTCGTTTCATGACCAGCCTGCCCCCACACTTATTCACCGAGGCAAAGGTTCAGGGACATCAAGGAACAGCCATTCAAGTTGCTTTGCTAAATCCAGAAACTGGAGAAGTTGTTCAGAGCGGACCAGGATCAACCGCTAAGCTGAAGATTGTCGTATTCGATGGTGATGTTGACAAAGTTGATTGGACAAGGGAACAATTGGAAAGCCACGTATTATCCAAAGGGTGTGAGAAGAGAAAGCCGCTTCTATCTGGCGACTTGCTAGTGACCCTAGAAGGAGGGATTGGCACTTTAGGCGATTTCACTTTTACGCAGGATTCAAGCTGGACAAAGAGTGGCAAATATAGGCTTGGAGTTAAGGTTTCTTGGAGATGCTCTGATGCAGTGCATATCCATGGGACCATATCCGAGGCTTTCACTGTTGAAGATAGCCGTGGAGAATGTGAGTCTTCGAAGCAACTACTGTTTATATAGTCTTTGTTTAAACACATCATCTAAAACAACTCAGACAGCTAGTATCAAGAGTTGCATAGGCTAAAACCAGTGTTGGTTAGAGGCTAGTACTTTCGTTGACATAGAGACTATCACAAGATGAATTTGCTCAACATTGTGGAGACAATGCGACAAAATTAATTGGTCATTCTTATGGTACAACCATGCTAGCAACCAATTCAACTTTGGAGGAGATTTATAATGCTGTACTTAGTTGTGAAGTTTCTGCTTCTTATGCTTTCTATAGTTGCCAAGAAGCGAGTCCCACTTCTACTAAGTGACTACGTCTGGAGACTGGTTGGAATAGCGATGGGTGGACAAGTGCACAAACAATTGACAGGAGCTGGGATTGTCACAGTCCGAGATTTTCTCGCCCTTCTTTCCAGGGATCAATTAAGACTGATAAATGTAAAGTCTCCCCTTTTTGTCCGTTATGTTTCGCCACTGTCACGACGGTGCCTTATATTTAAATCCTTATTTTTCTTTACTTAGTTCTTGTTGAATTATCTGAATTTCAGATCACGGGTGGTGGAATCTCCAATGCTATGTGGAAACATACTTTGGAGCATGCCATGTCATGTGTCTCCGATGCCAAGCAATACATTTACTATTGTGATGAAGGCCGATGCAATGCCATTCTTTTCAACTGGAACTATGAGCTCAAAGGACTCATCTGTAATGGACAATTCTTAGATATGGAATCACTTTCCAGCGATCAAAAGGTTAGGCTCAAAGTGTTGCCACAATCTGGATCAGTCTTGATCATTGAGCATGCATATCTGCAAAGAAACCAGAGCTTACAAGCTCTGAGCATAAGAAAATAAACAAAAAATCACATTGATACTAAATGAACATAATTTTTTAATAAAATAAGGCATGACGTAATGACAATTTGCAGCTTGTTTTAAGTGCGAAATTATAGTAGGGAAACGTCAGTGATCTTCTTATTAGACAGACTTCCTAGGTACTTGCTCTCTGCACTAATACTACCTATGCAATGATATGTTTTGACTTTCCTGTTGAATGTGTAGAAATTTTTCTTTTGAATCCATTCTGCAGATCTACCTCGAATCGATGTCGAAAATTGCCTACCAGAATTATGACCAAATCTCAGAATATTGTGGCAATATGTTCGACTTCGATTCAATGACCAGTTCAAACAGCATGTCAGCCTTCACCAGTTATGACACCACCCTATGCTATGTTGGTTGCTCTTTTGGCACTCATCAAAACCTGCAACAATTTGTTTTCCATGAAGCGGGGAATATCGAGAACTGCCTACAAGCTACAGTTTCTGATACCATGAGCTCTATGTCGATGGCAGCTCGTTCTGCTTCAATGACTTCTGATTTTCCAGTTCAAGGTGATATGCTTCTACCATGGAATGAACAGCACCTGGAAAATGTAACCATTCAGCATCTACTAAATAGGTTTCGTTAAATACAGAGATCACTAAGAGACATCTGAGACCGTTGGACATTGGAATATTGCAGGTTCTAATTGGAACTACGAAGAACTGGAAGCCGAGAAAGGCTGCTGTGGAGTGGCTTAAGCTGAAAGCCGCTTTTAGGTGGGCGATAACCATACGAAAGATGGCTGCAACAAGACGGGCCAAGGAGCTGGAATGCTTAGGCCTAATAATACCTTTGATGTTACAACCTTGAGAGTCTATACGCCTCGGGAATTCGTTACAACCTTGGGAGGGAGCCATGTTTAGTGTACTGATATATACGTACTTTTCTTGTATCATCTCAATCAGATAATATATAGTCTCTGTCTGGCATTTTCAGCTACTCAGCACTATTTTTGGCATCATTTCTCTCAAAAAATCAGGTCGTCATTAACTTCTTGGACAAAGCTCTATTGAGAATCAATTCAGATTTCAAGAATCTGCACATGAGCTTGTGGGATAGAGCTCATGATTATTTTTCAAATAATAGTTGCAACAGTGCTTGAATCAGCGAATTACAAAGTTTTCTGTGCATCAATGGCAGAGACGAGGACCATATCATTTCCTATTACCATGAATACTGGCTAGTATCTATGCTTTTTATTTTTAGTATTTAAAAGACTAATTGAAATCAATGTTTCATTAGGGGCCAACATATGTCAAGCGAATGCCCGAAGAAATGTTACCTAGATTTTAAAGGCAAGCTGGTTGGAATAGATCGTCGTGTAAAAGAGATAAACCCAAACGCAGCATAGGTGTACATGTGTTTCAATCTGTCCATTCTTTCTGGAGTCTACGTTGCTTGAAGGGATTTGTGATAATGGGAAACAGAAAAAACATCTCTCCTGCAAGAACAGCTTATTACTGACCTACACGGATGAGAATGTCCCAAGCTCAATTCTTCTGAATGAAGGCAATGACGTCACAAAGCATATTCTCCATTGTCGAAAAGTTTTGATTGTCCTCAACAATGTCGACAGTCCAGGAATAGGAACATTTGCGCGGAAGCTCCAATTGGTTCGGCGCTGGAACCAACAACTTCATTATGACTCACAGTAGTTAAACAGATGGATGAGGATGAAGCTCTCCTACTTTTCAACAAGCATGCTTTCCCTGGGGGTCCTCCAGACAAGCTGCCATGATTGTTTGGCCCCAAACGTTATTTCAGTTATTGACAGGTTCCCTCTGACTATTTAGGTTAAGATGTTGACATATCTATCAGAAGAACAAGATCACATGGCTGAGGAAATTATATCTTTGTCTTAAATATTGCCTCAGCAGTAGAATCAGAGAAGCATCTAGGTAGTAGCTATGTGTCCTGGTCTTTCTAATGTAGCCGGTATAACCAGTTCAAACGATATATGCGGCAGCTGCTTTGAGAAAGGCCTAAAACCTCATTGCTACTAATCCAACCCAATTACACTAGGCATTCTACAGAGCATTCTACGTTACCTAGTCCTAGCCAACAAAGGACTTAAACAGCAAATTGGACATTAAGCATGCTCGTTGAAGTTACTAAAGCCCATTGGAGTCCTATCACAGATTCAAACCATTTACCTTAAGGCGGGCTAGTGCAAAGGCATGGAAATTTACATGCTCCTTGGACAACCTCTGGAGATCTGCAAACAATCACGTTCGCCAACGCGAGCAACTAGTTCAAGGTTGGCCTGCCTCAACACTCCAAACAACAGAAAATTGTGAACGCTGCCAACATAAGCATTGAACACCATCATACCCAAACAAGAATTGACCTAACGTCTGCAACTAGGCTAGAGTATCTAAATGGGTTCTGAAAACTTTATATTGTAATGCAAAATTAAGTAGGCAATAACCCTCAAAACACAGTCGTTCCCAGGAGAAAGGAAAAGGAGGAAAATCAATTAAGAGTAGCTCACTGGGTGTCGAATTGAATTGGAAAGTATCAGCTTGAGCAAGCTAGGCTGTTGTTCAGTCAGTGCTCTGCCCAGTCACTTTTACCATTTTGTTAATATTTTTTTCTTTTCTTTCTTTTTCTTTTCTTTTCTTTTCTTTTCTTTTCTTTTTCTTTTCTTTCTAAGAAAGAAAACATTCTATGTATTTTCTTTTCTTAATAAAAATAATTTAAAAATAACAAATAATTTTAAAAAAATTTTAAAATTTTTTTTTTTAATAATTTTCACCATCAGATTTTCCTCAACAAACAACTGAAAATATTTTCGAAGTCTTTTTTAGGTTTTAGTCAAATATCGAAAAATGAACTCATTTTTCTGGAAAATGATTTTCTGGAAAGTATTTTTCAGAAATGATCCATTTTCCACAAAATAAACGCATCCTAAGTAGGCTTCAGAGCACAATAAATTCCAAAGAACCTCGGAGGGACCGGAGACCCAATTTAGAGAACGGGCATTATGGGCTTGGGCCCTCACTACCCAATCGGCAACCTTGTTTTGGGTTCTTACACACAGGGCCAAACGAAGGCCTTTAACACTGATAAATAGTAAGGGTGATAATGGTTCTAGGGTGGAAGGTTCTAGCTTCCGGTTCTAATTTTTTGGGAACTGCCGGAACCGGAAGCCACTAAGGATGCGCATGAAATGCATTTTACTCCATAATGTTCCGAAATGCGTTTGTTAAAAATTTTCGGAACACATTTTGAAGCAAATTTTGCATTCTGTAACAAAAATGCATTTGGTAAAAATGCGTTCTTTTTTTTACTTCGAAATTACTTTTTGATTCCAAAATGTATTTTTACCCAAAAAAAACAGAAGCTTCTAGAAAGAGATTTCCTTCTTTTCTCTCTTTGTTGTGCTCTTCACAACACATTACGAGATCTCACCAAATTTCTTCTCAGTCTCTCTGCTAGGTCGAGCTCCCGCGCTCCGCCCGGAACAAGAGGCTCCAGGCCTTAGGGTCCCCACGATCCCCATCTCCTTCCTCGTCGTCGGCGTCGTCATCTTCTTCGATTGGATTCTCTCTCCGTGAGGAGGAACACGCAGAAACTTCTAGAGAGAGAGAGGGAGATGGGGGAAGAGAAGGAGGACCCGCAGAAGCTGAGGAGGATCGCGGCGGCGGCGTATGACTACGAGAACGACCCGCGATGGGCGGATTACTGGTCCAACATCCTCATCCCCCCGTAGATGTCCTCCCGCCCCGACGTCGTCGACCACTACAAGCGCAAGTTCTACCAGCGCTTCATCGTATGCCCCCCCCTCTCTCTCTCTCGCCTGTTTGCTCGCGATTTGACGTTCTTGATTTCTGTCGAGAGAGAGAGAGAGAGAGAGAGAGAGAGAGAGAGAGAGAGGGAACGTGGGTGTGTTTGATTTGGAGTTCAGGGATTGGATTGGTCCTGCCGTTGGGATTGGAAGTTCGCGGTAGGTTTTATTGAGTAGATGATTGGGCTGCTTTAGGGTTATTCCGGTCGTTTGAGTTGGCCTCTCAAGCTTGAGAAGGAGGTTCTGCGCGGTTGGATATGTCAGACGTGTTTTGGTTGCTTGTGATTAATTGGATTGAAATCGCGACGCGGCGACCACTGGCTTGTTAGGAATTTTAATCTTGAAATGTGGGTGTGCCTTAACCTCCTGTTGGTTCTGCATTAAAGGGGGCTCTTTTTGTTATTAACTTCGTCCGCAATCGTTTGTATTTCGGGAGACTTTTCTGCCCTCCATTTTAGTGGATTCCTGCGTGACCCCCCTCTTTTGTCGTGAATGGGGGTGTTAAGGAGGAAATTTTTAGATGATTCGGCTTTACCACATCAGCTTTGTGGAGAATTTTGAGAGAAACCAATGAAGTGATGATAGGATATCGTGCTTAAAGCGTGAACGATTTTTTCAGTGGCAGCGATATCTGTTCCTCTGGCTATTGCAGTTTATGTTTTGCGTGATGACGATTTAGCTTCGTTTATGCAGGATCGCAATCTCATTGTCGAGCCAATGTCTTCCGGTAGTTCATCTCAGTCAGCAAGGCAATCTACACCGTCCTCAGCTTCATCAACGACCAATGAGCAGCCTCGATCCCGTAGCACTGGTAAAATACATTGACATTGGCCACTTTGATAGGAATGGTGTTGGGTGTATCAATGAAATTTTATAAGATGTGTTTTCTTTGATACACTACCATGTACCGATTTGAAATTCGTTTTGATGATTTTGAACCCTATTCTTTGGTTTAGGATCTTCTACCGGAAGCTCTAGCTCATCAGCAACTTCACCTTCAAATCCAACTTCTTTGCGCTGGGATCAGCAAACTATACAATTCCCTGTCAATGCTTGGGTACGATGAGATTTCATCCATGCTTCATTATGCGCCTATAAATGTGTACTTTCCATTGAAGGATACCCTTGTAAAAGCTTTCATGATATGATATCCAAGAATTAAAAAAATTTGGTCTTACGGGAGCATGTCAACCAGCTGTTGTAATTGATCTTGCCTATGCTGATTGCCATTTTGTGTCATTGTGTGGCAGGTATTCGTGGTGGCTGTACTGGCTATATTCCCATTTGTGCCTCGAAATCTTTCAAATAGGGCATATCGTCTTTCATTTATGGGCACCGCATGTTGGTCTGTGTATTCTCTGTACTCATTATATGGGGTATGATCAGCCATCCTTTAATCTGCTGATCTAGACTGTTCCTTGTTATGCTCCCATTAATGGTTCACACACATTACAGAAACCTAGGGCATGGAATATGCAAGCTTTGCAAGTTTACTTTCAAACGATAATAGTGACCAAGGACTTCATCTACTGCCTGACATTTGTCACTTCGCATCTTAACCTTAAATGTAAGCAGAACTTGGCTTCTAATAATCTATTTTGGTTTTTCCTGACTCTTTTTAGATCCGCTTTATTAGTCTCCTCCTTTTATGACATTGCTTTTACTCCTCAGTCGCTTTAATTCCCATTATGTGCCGAGCTCTTGAGCATGTGGCCAAGTTTTTAAGGAGTAATTTCAGAAGTTCTTCCTTGTACAGGTAAATGCTGCTTAATTCATGCTAGAATTAGTGGTTTACGAGTAATTTTGATCATTTGGGTTGAAGTAATCTTAGTTGTTTGTTGCCTATTATATTTATTATGTTCTTGTCTGTTAATGTTAGTATTAAATTTGTAATGAGTTTGTAATAATTCACATTCTGCCATGATGACTTCTCCTCTTATGTCAAGATCACTGCTACCTTAGCATATATTTGCTGCTGGATATCAAAGATTTACGATGATGGACAGTGTGGAGTTTGGATGGATTTTTTTTTCTTTTGTTATATTTTTGGGAAGAGGAGGGGGTAAAGAAATTTTCATCCCTCTTGGTTAAAGAAAATTTTTTCCTTTGGAGTGAATATTTTCTGACGTGAACAAGTGTTTGAATGCCATACAATCACTGCAACAGGGTCATATGCACTTGTTCTTCTAGTTATCCGAGTTATGTTTACAAGATTGCATAAACAATGATTTTGGGCTACTTGCCTTGGACGGTTCTAAGGCACAAATTAACGCTGTCCTGCTCTCTCTCTCTCTCTCTCCCTGCATCTGCGCCGTAGTTTGGAAGGGCAGAGTGCGTAGAATATCTTGATTCTTCAGTAACAAGCAACGTGCATAAAGTTCCTCTTATGCATGGTTCCTCTTAATTGCGTTATGTTTCAGACCTTGCTATTGATGTTGTATGAGGGACTCCTTATTCTGTTTGGATTCTTTTTCCCTTCTGCAGCTTTTAAAGCTTATGTATCATGCCCCTGCAACTGCTGGCTATCATCAAAGTGTGTGGGCTAAGATTGGAAGGAGTGGTAATCCGCTTATTCAGGGCTATGCTCCATTCCTGAACACTCCATTTTCTGCTGCTCAGAGATGGTGGTTCAGGTAGTGCCCACAAGGTAGGAGTCTTGGGGAGCCATCTTCTTGCTAGGACTTCTGGTGTCTCGGCAGAGGACACACTGATAAGTGTCGGAGAAAGCCATCTTAGACTTTAGATGGATGTTAGCTAATCCTTTAAAACCGTGTCTCTGTTTTTTATTCTCAATCATCTCTGCTGGGCCATCACGCCCTGTTTTCTCACCGATGCCCTCATAGCTTATTTATTAGTAGTTTGATCCATCTACACGGCAGAACAAAATGGAGGTTGGAATTTGCCTTGACCACTTTTAAAATGGCACCTTGTCTTTCGTACTCTGAAATGACTTATTGGGAATTGGCATGTGCACCTGAGACGAATTCGTGTCCTAGACAAATAACTCCTTGAGTTTACACGTGAATCATTGGTGTGCTCGTCTATTTTTTCATGTTATGCTTGTTAACGCTGTGTAACAGTGTTGAAAATATTTGTCATCTGCTACAGGTTTCAAAAAAGTTGTGTTTTTTTTGTTTTGCCGGGATCGATTACCTTTGTCCACAACATTCTTCTGTTTCATCCATGTTACGTGCTTATAAGGAGAGGAATAGAGGCGAGAGATCGCCATTATCAAGAGATGAATTAATCTAGTTTTACATTTGAAGAATCAATCGACAGGTGTTGTGCCCACGTGTGAAAACGTTTTTTTAGTGCTGAAGTGTATTTGTTGACGTTGGCCACAATCATACATACTCGGCCATTGAAGCTCGACAGAAATTATCGTTGGAACGAAATCCGTTTGTTTCACAAAAAATAAATGATCTGGAAAATATTTTCTTGAAGATGATCGTTTGTATTGCTTATATGAACGAGTGAATGAAGTTTTACTTGGGGTGAACATGCTGACGAGGTCTTCGCCCGCCCACAAATCATTTGATAATGCTAATGGCGCGGTTAGTTATAGCAATGTCTATTATTTGCATCATAATCCTATCACAAATTCTTTACTGCATTGTAGGTTAAGATAAATAATATTTTGCAATTGAGTTCGGACTATCTTTATTGCGGAAATAAAATTGACGCGCCGTTATAAAATGCATTTCTCATCTAGAAGCAGAAATTTTCTTCTGTTTTATCAAATAGATTTCTCTTCCATAAATCAATTTCTGGAGCAGAATTAGTCTTATTTTATCAAACAGATTTCTCCTCTGGAAATCGATTTCTAGCAAGAATTCCATAAATCAATTTCTGGCAAGAATTTGATTTCTGGAGCATAATGGTTGTCATTCGTGCCCAATGTATGCAGGAGGAGGAGGAGATAGAGAAGAGGGGAAGAGGAGCGATGGCAATGGAGCACCAAGGCGATCGGCGGTGGCGGCACAATAATGTCTACAGTAGTTTGCAGGAGCAAGCGATCGCTGTCCTCGATCGACTCCTCCAGCTCTTTCCTCACATGGAACGCCAGGTGACCTCTCGTGTTTCTTAGGGAACTGTGTCTGTCGTATTCGATTTCTCTTTGCGTTTGCTTGTTTGCCTTTAGAATCTGTATGGCATGAGAAACATATAAAAGGACACTGTGTAGGCTCTGAAACTAGCTAGTGAGCGTCTATGTTGCACCGACACCAACACTCGACACGTCAATTCTCAAAAAATACCATTTTCCGATACGTTGGGACATATATATTAAATATATATTTTTAATAATTAAATATACCATAATGATCAAAAACAATTAGTTTATTATAACCCATAAAACCATTAAGTTCCAATAAAAAGATGAACTTGACTAGTTTAGATTCCGCAAACTCATCCATCGAAAGAAGCACATTTACAAATTCAATTAGGGAAACAGAGTATATGCGATATGCAAACTTCTCCTCAAAATTCGTGTTCTCATGTTCCGATACATAAGAAAAAAAGACGCAGCCCACCGCAATTTCTTTTCCCCATCCATCTGACCTCCCCATAAGAAAAAAAGACGCAGCCCACCCATCTGACCTACCCCACCACTTTTTCCTTTTCCCCCAACCCACCCACACACGCTCCCTTCCCCGACTGCTCCCTTCTTCCCAGTTCCCAGCCACCACAATTTCTTTCGAAACAGAGAGGTGTACCTGCAGCGACCGGCGAGAGCGAGCGGGAGCGGGAGCGGCGAGCGACGAGCGGGAGCGGCGAGCACGACCGGCGAGCGGCGCAGAGGACGGGAGTTCGTCGGTCGAACAGAGAAGTAAAGAGGTAATCGTGTTTTAGCCCTAATTTGGAGGTCGACGCCATTTATTGTTCTCTGTTTTTATTTTTTTACAAATTTACTCTTCGGACACGCCGGACTCGCGTGTCGGAGGCGTGTCCGGAGAGTTGATTTCGTGTCGGAAATCCGACACCGTGTTGACCGCGTGTCGGAGGCGTGTCCACGCGTGTCGGACGTCCGACACGCGTGTCGGTGTCGGACACCGACACGTTGGCCATTTTAACGTGTCGGTGCAACATAAGCGTTTTCTGGTTTGGTTTTTCTTCTACTTTGGGGCAGTCTGTGATTGGCATTAGCGTGGGCGAGGACGTTACCGCTGATTCTTGTTTGCTAATCGGAGTCCGATAGTTCTGTCTGGTTCTTCTGGCAAGCTCTAGGTTTAACAATTCACATGTTTTCCGGACCTGCAGTGCCTTATAATCTCAATGGATTTTGTTTTCAGATCCTTGAGAGAGCGTTGGTACAATGCGGGGATGATCTAGAGGCTGCCATTGGTAGGCTGCAGGAGCTTTGTTTGTGTCCTGCCGTGGATAATGGAGGATTTTCTAAGGAGCCCGGTGTTAATGCTGACCAAGGTAAATGGTTTTTCTTATGTGCTTTCAGTTCGTGCGAGTTTAAAACCTGTTTTTTCGTAACTAGTCAACCGAAGAGGAAAAGGGAAACAGATGGATTCGACTGTCATCTGCAATTACGCCCTTCTCCTAGGCAGGGAGATTTTGATCCTCATTAATTATAGTGAACAAAACAGGTGTTATAGGTTGAAATATTTGTGGGGATTCATAATGGTTTTTGTTTTAATTACGCAGAGGATATGAATAGACAATCTCTTTTTTTAAGGGCTGGATTTTCATGTAACTTATTCAACTGGAATTCTTGCTGGGATTTATTCTTCACGTGTTTCCTTTATGGGTCCAATAACATTGAAGTTCCATTGACAGGTGACAGAGATGATGCTGATGCACCTGGTGAATTGGGGAGTGTCGCATTTCGGATTTGGCTGCGACGTTTTGGGGTGCTCTTTTGGTTAAGATAATTGACGCAAATGGGTTGATTATGGGCTTAATGAGGTTGTGAGTTATGGTGGATTGGTGTTGAGAACAGTGGGAGGCATTAGACTGCTTTGATCGAAGTCTGATGCTGAAAAGATTTCTCCTGGGAAATTTCAGGCTTTTCGGGCATGGGGTTTCTTTGGGTATCTTACCTGCAATCCATCCCTGTATTGTGAATTGGAGCAACCCCCATCGCCCGACCATGCTAGTGTACTTTTGCTGCTACGCTGCTCTTCAAAGGCCGCACAAGCCTCCCAACAATGCAATCGATTATGTACTCTCTCTCTCTCTCTAATTTTTTATCGCTTGTGGGTTTTTTGGGGTAGCAATGTGAGAAATTTCAGTGAACTCTGCTTTTGCTTGGATTCATTAAGATAACAACCACTCTCTTTCGCTTGCTTCCATGTCTATCCATGCACAAACGAGTGAAACTCTCTCTCTCTCTCTCTTCATGAATGTCGCTTTGTTCACGAATCTCTTTCCTCTGTAAGATCTAAAGCCAAAGTAAAAGACTTTAGATTGTGTGATGCGCAATCTAAAGTTTTTAGTTTGGATGTTCAGTCATTAAGAGTATATGAAAAAGACTAAGGATTCGTAGATATAATTATCATAAACAGTCCGCAGCTCTCTTAAACATTTTTAGCTGAACTCAGATAGAGTTTGAAGTTTCAATTAGCCAGTTGCACCTGGTTTCAATATAATTTGGGAGTCTAATAATAGTCTGGTGGGTGTGGTTTGGCTAGGGATGAGATGACTAGGAAAAGGGACAAATTTTGGGAGTATGCAGAGCAATTAGGTGGGGTTAAGTCACACTTAGCTTGCATCCCCGATCGTGACGTTGCTACATGTACCAAGGTTCCTAAGGACGTTTCTATAGCTTTTGAAGCAATTAGCCGTCATAATAGGAAAGATAAGAAAGATAAAGAGTGTCTCAACCGACCACTTCAACACCACTTCTAGAGATCCATGTAATCGACACTCCAAAAACATCTTTAGAGAAAGGATAGGATTGCCTAGATAAGTTGCTTGCAAAACATGTTATGTTCAATAACATTTCTGGAAATGTAGAGTTCGCATTTTGCGTGTTTCTTGCGCGAGGTTGAAAACTATGGGCACGATTATGAATTGCTTTCTTATTCTGTTCTCACCACCAAGTCTATCCCGAAATTGAGTATGGAAGTCGGTCAATATGTAAATGGTGTCGAGAAATCATGTGCTTTAACAAGGTGTACGATAATTCTAGATGGTTGGGTTAAAGTTCACGGAAACGCCTACCTAAACATCATTTTATATTCTCTAAAAAGTGCGAGCCTTGTGAATACCGTTGAACTTATGAAGAATGAGTTGACAAATAGGTCTTTTGTGGATCAATTGCAATCTGCAATGGATGAAATAGGACTTCACAAAGTTGTACAGTTCATCACTAATGATTTGGGTAACCATGAGCCCTTTTGGAAGACGTTTATCCAAAGGTATCCAAGTACCTCTTCATGACATTTTGTGCTGCTCATGGTATTCAGTTGCTTTTCGCATATATCTTTCAAGGGGTTGAATGGGTTGGAAGGACGATGTGCGATGTTAATTTGGTGAATGATTATCTGCACAAGTATGCCTAGTTTTTGTCCTTGTCTGTGAAATTCAGAGGCAAAAGGGAATTGTGAGATATTCTTCCTAATGATTTAGCCTCAAATTTTATAATGCTTCAGTGTACTCACAATGCAAAATCGGGGATACAATGTTTGGTTGCGTCTACTGAATGGAGACACTTGAGACATCTTGAGGAAGGACCAGTGAGCAAAGTTGTTACAGGTTCCAAATTCACAGTGCCCAAACTACCAACGTTGAAAGAGGAAGAACATCTCAACTGTCTTCATTTAGTAGACGCAACCAAATGTAGTATCTTTGACTTTGCATTGTGAATACACTGAAACATTCTAAAGTTTGAGGCTAAACCATTAGGAAGAACATCTCCCAATTTCCTTTTGCCTCTGAATTTCACAGACAAGGACAAAGACTCAGCATACTTGTGCAGATAGTCATTCACCAATTTAACATCGCACATCGTCCTTCCAACCCATTCAACCTCTTGAAAGATATATGCAAAAAGCAACCGAATGCTGTGAGCAGCACAAAATGTTATGTAAAAATACCTAGATACCTTTGGACAAGCGTCTTCCGGAGGGGCTCGTGGTTACCCAAATCATTAGTGATGAACTGTACAAGTTTTTGAAGTCCTATTTCATCCATTGCAGATTGTAATTGATCCACAATAGACCTATCTGTCAACTCATTCTTCGGAAGTTCAATAGTATTCACAAGGCTTGCACATTTTAGAGAATATAAAATGATGTTCAGGTAGACTTTTCCGTGAACATTAACCTAACCATCTAAAATTACCGTACATCTCGTTAAAGCACATGATTTCTCGACACCATTTACATACTAACTGACTTCCATACTCAATTTGGGAATAAACTTCGTGGTGAGAACGGAATAAGAAGGCAACTCATAATCGTGCCTGTAGTTTGCAACCCCACGCAAGAAACCCACAAAATGCAAACTATGAAGGACATTTCCAAAAATGTTGTCGAACAAAACATGTTTTGCAAGCAACTCATCTAGACAACCCCGTCCTTTCTCTGTAGATGTTTCTAGCGTATCAATTATCTAGATGTCTAGAAGTGGTGTTGAAGTGGTCGGTTAAGACAGACTTTTATCTTTCCAATTTTGAGGGCTAGTTGTTTAAAAGCTATAGCCTGAACATCCTTAGGAACCTCGGTACATGTAGCAACGTCACAACCGGGGACGCAAGCTAAGTGTGACTTATCCCTCGGAATTCCACCAGGGAAATCACTCTTGCGGAATTTACACCTGAAACAACCACCCAATTGCTCTGCATACTCCCAAAATCTATCCCTTTTCCTAGTCATTTTGTCCGACACGCACCAGACTATTATTTAAACTACAAGCCAACTCCCAAATTTTATTGAAAGCAGTTACAACCTAATGTTGGCTAATTGACACTTCAAACTCAGTCTGAGTTCAGCTGAAATGTTTAAGGAAGCTGGGGATAGTTTATGGTAATTTTTAAGGAACAGCCATTCAAGTCGCTTTGCTAAATCCAGAAACTTGAGTAGTTGTGCAGAGCAGACCAGGATCGACAGCTAAGCTGAACCTTGTCCTATTCGATGGTGAACTTGAGAAAGTTGATTGGACAAGGGAACAAATGGAAAGCCATATAACATCCAAAGGGTGTGAGGAGAGAAAGCCGCTTCTATTTGGCTACTTGCTAGTGACCCTAGAATGAGGGATCTGCACTTTTAGATGCTATGATGCAGTGCATATCCGTGGGACCATATCCGAGGCTTTCACTATTGAAGATAGCCGTGGAGAATGTGAGTCTTCGAAGCAACTACTGTTTTTAGTCTTTGTTTAAACACATCATTTAAAACTACTCAGACAGCTAGTATCTAGAGTTGCATAGGCTAAAACCAGTGTTGGTTAGAGGTTAGTACTTTTGTTGACATAGAGACTATCGCAAGATGAATTTGCTCAACATTGTGGAGACAATGCGACAAAATCAATTAGTCATTATTAGGGTACAGCCTTGTTACCAAGCAATTCAACTTTGGAGGAGATTTATAATGCTATACTTGTTGTGAAGTTTCTGCTTCTTATGCTTTCTATAGTTGCCAAGAAGTGTTTCCCACTTCTACTACAGGACTTACGTCTGGAGATTGGTTGGAATAACGATGGGTGGACAAGTGCACAAACAATTAACTGGAGCTGGCATTGTCACAGTCCGAGATTTTCTCGGCCTTCTTTCCAGGTAGAGGTGGCCACGGTTCGGAACCGACCGGTTCCGGTTCGTGGCCAAGCGTGAACCGGAACCGTAACCGCCTCTGGCGGTTCCGGTTCCGGGTCCGAACCGTACGGTTCAGGTCCTGTTCCGGTTCGGAACCGGTTCCGGGCCGGTTCCGGTTCGGGACCGGTTCCTATTTTTTTCTGTTTTTTTTCTTTTCCTTTTCCTTTTCTTTTTTTTTTCTTCCTCCGCGGCCGGCCATAGCCGGGGCCGGCATGGAGGTCGCCGCCTCTAGGCGAGCGGCCGCTCGCAGGCGTCGGCGAGGCCGGCCTCGCTGGGCCGGGCGAGGCCGGCCGGCCTCGCCGACGCCGGCGAGGTCGAGCCTCGCTGGGCCAGTGGCGAGGCCGAGCCTTGCCTGGCCGGGCGAGGCCGGGCCTCGCCTGGCCCAAAGCTAGGCCGGCTCTCGCCCGACGCCGGCGAGGTCAAGCCTCGCCGGTTGCCAGTGCAAGGTCGAGCCTTGCTGGGCCGGGCGAGGCCGGCCTCGCCCGGCCCCAAAGGAGGGCCGCCCTTGTTCGACGCCCGCGAGGTTGAGCCTCGCTAGTTGCGTGTGCGAGGCCGAGCCTCGCCTCGCCGGCCGGGCGAGGCCGGCCTCGCCTGGCCCCAGCGAGGGCCGCCCTCGCCCGACGCCGGCGAGGGCCCCTCGCCACGACGCCGGCGACCTCCGCGCCGGCCCCGGCCATGGCCGGCCGCGGAGGAAGAAAAAAAAATTAAAATATAAATTATAATTTTAAAAAACAGAAACAAGGAAAAAAGACAAAAGAGAAGAAGGAAAAACAGAAAAGGAAAAGGAAAAGAAAAAGAAGAAAAACAGAAATGAAAATAAAAAAAATTAAAAAAATACTATTCTTGTGATAGAACATTATTCAATATAAATTGTAATTAAAATGTAAATTGTACTCAAATTTGGGGACAAAAAGACGAGAGAAAGAGAGGGCTTCAACTTAATAAATCATCATTAAGCACATTACAATTCGTTACAACGATCTTAAAAAAAAGGAGTACAATATATATATCCTAAAATTATCCCAAAACCTAAGCATTCCGTGCGCAGGGGACCAGAGGTCACATATCGTCGGATTATATTTCGGTTTCCCTAAGCTCACGTGGGCGTACCCGGTATGAGAAACAAGAGTTCCCGAAATATTTGCCAACTCCAATAGTTCTTTTACCCTCAATCGTCACTACCCGTTCCAGTATTCGATAGTGGTAGCGGTAATATCTCCGTCGTTAAAGAATTCGGATTCATTATTCCGATCTATCTCTTGTTGCCGATATTGAGCCTTCGTCCAATCAACAACACAAGCTTGCATCTCCACTGATTCTGGATATAATCTTGAACAATGTTCGTTCAAAATATTACCTCCGGCACTGAATGCTTGTTCGACCGCAACTGTAGAACAAGGAGTTAAAAAAATCTGTTTTGCAATAAGAGAAAGGATTGGGTATTGGCTTACGTGCCTCTTCCACCAATCCATAATAAAAAAATCTGTACCACCTTCGGCTTCAGTAAACTCAAATAAAATGGTTAGATAACTCTCTAATTCAGAAATATTTCCTATTACGCCCTTTTGTTTTTTTTGTCTATGTAATAAAAGTTGGTACCCTCTACTAATTTTACCTGTACTGTCATTTTGTATCTCCGTAGATTGAGAAGATCTAATATCACCTAAATTATATTTAGTATAAAATTCATTATATAATTCTATTACTACGTTTTTAACCTCACGTACTATGGTTGTAACATTTGTCACATCATAATGTAAACATTGATAATACGCACGCAAAAAATCATTTAAGCCATCCAATTTGCAACGCGGATCAAAAACACAAGCAACTAAATAAATCATGGGAATTTCACTATAATAATGAAGCCATTTCATTTTCATTGCAACTACAGTAGGTTGTAATTCAACATCATTTTCATATTCATCAAAAGTTCCGACAATATTAGTACACTTTACTAAAAATAAATGTGTAATAGGATAATAAACACCAGACAAAGTATAAGTTGCATCATTAAAAACCTTTAAAAGATCTAAAATTTTTTGGCAAATATGCCACTCTTGTGGGTATAAATTAATCTCATGTATATTATTAGAAATAAATGCACATAATAAATCTTTATATGCTAAAGATTCACTAAGCAAGTGGAAAGTAGAATTCCAACGAGTTGGAACATCTCTTGGAAATCTTTTTGGCTTTTTGCCATTATCTCTACAAAATCTACCCCATTCTTTCATTTTTTTGGGATGTTTCCATAAAAATTGAATCGCCGTTTTTATTGGTTGAAGAAAAATATCAAGAGTTTTCAAACCATCTTGTACACATAAATTTAAAACATGACAAGCACATCTAATGTGAAAAAATTTTCCACCAAAAGCGGGTTTACAAATATTTTCTAACTCGGCAATTGAAGCGGTATTTGCTACGGCATTATCAAAACCAATTGAAAAAATTTTGTTAAGCAAATAATATTCTTCTAAAACTTGCCTAATTAGTCTATAAATATTATTTGCCGTATGATGATCATCGAAAACTCTAAATGCAATAACTCTTTTTTGAATAATCCACTCGTCATCTATCCAATGACATGTTATGCCCATGTAAGAATGATTTTGCCAATGATCACTCCAAATATCACTACCTATATGCACGCATCCATTAAATTGCATAAAAAAGTTTTGTAAATCATTTTTTCCATTTTTGTAAAGATCTTTAATTACTCGTTTAGTTGTATTTCTAGAAATACGTTTTACTTGTGGAGCACATGCTTTTTGTACAAATTCATTAAAACCAAATCTTTCTCCAAAATTAAATGCTAAATGCTCAACGGAAATAAATTTGCCTAATTCTTCCTTATAAGTTTTTTCATTAAAACGAAATAAAGGGGAAGTGTTAGGATTGACGTACCCAGAAATTTGTTGTTGCCCGATATCGATTCCCGTTTCAGTTGGATGTTTGCTCATAAGATGTTTAAATGTTCCATATCCTTGTCCACCTGTATATTTATATATTTTTCCACAATATTTACAAATTATATCATACCTTTTTTGACCGATATCAAACCTTTCCATTTTCGTGAAGTGATTCCAAATGTCGGATGTAAATTCCCGTTCCGCTTCCTTTGTTGTAGATATTTCAGCAGGAGGATGAAAACTTTCTTGCGTCGGGACGCGCTCCACATCGTGAAAAATGTTGATTTCATCATCTTGAAAATCTGCATATTCACGAGGATCAAAAGAATGATGGAATTTCGTCGCGATATTCTTACCTTTGCCAGTTGGCACTCGACTTCCACTTGTCATTCTTCGAATGGATTGAGAGAATTGAGCGGATTAATTGGGAGAATTAAGAAAGAATTGCATGGATTGAGAAAATTGAGAGAATTTCAGAGAATTTGAGAGAATTTCGAGTATTGAGAAAATTTGAGACTTGAAAGAAGAGAATTGGAGAGAATTTGAGAGAATTGTGTGTGTATTGTGAGAATTTGAGAGAATTTATAGGAAAAAAATAGAAGAAAATTTAGAATTAAAAAAAATAAAACATAACCGTTGCAAAATTGCAACGGTTATGTGTGTTTTTTTTTTTTTATTATAAAAATGCCCGTTGGGGCGTAGCCGTTGCCCCAACGGGCCGCACGCCGCAGCCGCAAGGTGCTGCGGCGCAGCAGGGCCTGCACGTCTGCAGGCCCTGCTGCAAATAAATCTATTTTTTTTTTTTTTTTGTTGGGCCGTCCGTTCTCCTGCGGGTGCAGGCTGCTGCAGCGTGGCCTGCACCTGCAGGCTTTTTTTTTTTTTTTTTTTTCGCAGAACCCGCCCGGAACCGGCGGTTCCGGGCCGGTTCAAATTTTTCAGGAACCGGAACCGGGACCGTATGCCACGGGCCGGTTCCGGTTCCGAACCGCGGGCCCGGTCAACGGGCCGGGCCCGGGTTTGACCGGGCCGGTTCCGGTCCGGTTCCGGGCCAAAACCGGCCCGTGGCCACCTCTATTTCTAGGGATCAATTAAGACTGAGAAATGTAAAGTCTCGCATTTTAGTCTGTGTTATGTTTCGCTACTGTTACCATACCTTATATTTGAATCCTTATTTTTCTTTACTTAGTTCTTGTTGAATTATCTGAATTTCAGATCGTGGGTGGTGGAATCTCCGATGTTATGTGGAAACATACTCTGGAGCATGCCATGTCATGTGTCTCCGATGCCAAGCAGTACGTTTACTATTGCAATGAAGGCCAATCCAATGCCATTCTTTTCAACTGGAACTATGAGCTCAAAGGACACATCTGTAATAGACAATTCTTAGATATGGGATTACTTTCCAGCGATCAAAAGGTTAGGCTCAAAGTGTTGCCACAATTTGGCTCAGTCATGATCATTGAGCATGCATATCTGCAAGGAAACCAGAGCTTACAAGCTTTAATCTGAGGATAAGAGAGACAAACAAAAATTCACATTGATACTAATGAACATAGTTCTTTAATAAAATGTGGCATGACATAATGACAATTTGCAGCTTGTTTTAAGTGCGAAATTATAGGAGGGAAAAGTCGGTGATCTTCTTGTTAGACAGACTTCCTAGGCACTTTTTTTCTACACTGATGTTGCCCATGCAATTATTTGGTTTTACTTTCCTCTCAAATGTGAAGAAATTTCTCTCTTTGAATTCATTTTGCAGATCTACCTCGAATCCATGTCGAAAATCACCTACCAGAATTATGACCAAATCTCAGAATATGGTGGCGATATGTTCAACTTCGATTCAGTGACGCAGTTCAAACAGCGTGTCGGCCTTCACCAGTGATAACACCATCGTATGCTGTGTTGGTTACTCCCTTGGCACTCTTCAAAACCTGCAACAGTTTGTTTCCCATGAAGCAGGGAATATCGAGAACTGCCTACAAGCTACAATTTCTGACACAATGAGCTCTATGTTGACGGCAGCTCGTTCTGCTTTGATGACTTCTCATTTTCCAGTTCTGGGTGATATGCTTCTACCATGGAATGAACAGGACCTGGAAAATGTGACCATTCGGAGATCTGAGACCGTTGGACATTGGAATGTTGCAGGTTCTAATCGGACCTATGAACCTTAGCGAAATTGGAAGCCGAGAAAGGCTGCTATGGCGTGGCTTAAGCTGAAAGCCGCTTTTGGGTGGGCGATAACTATAAAATAGATGGCTGCGACGAGACGGGTGAAGGAGCTGGAGTGCTTAGGCATAATAATACCTTTGATGTTACAACATTTAGAGTCTATACACATTGGGTATTCGTTGATGTTCAGCTGGATTGCTGAGAGGGAGGGAGGGAGGATGTTTAGTGTATTGATTTATACGTACTTTTCTTATATCATTTGCAATCAGAAAATATATTGCATCAGAATATAGTCCCTGTTTAGTTTCTCTGTACGGCATTTCTAGCTACTTGGCACTATTATTTGGCATCATTTCTCCCAAAAAAATCAGTCAATATCAACTTCTTGAACAAAGCTCAAATGAGGATCAATTCAGTTTTCGACAATCGGCACATGAGCTAGTGTGATAGAGCTCCTGATCATTTTTTCAAATTTAGTTGCGGCAGTGTTTGAATCAGCAATTTCCAAGTCTATTTCTGGGTATCGATGGCAGAGACGGGGACCAAATATCATTTCTTTTGACCATGAATGCTGACCAGTATCTGTGCTTTGTATTTTTGTACTTAAAAGGACCAATTGAAATCAACATTTTATCTGGGGCAACATATGTCAAGCGAATGTCGAAGAAATATTACCTAGATATTACTGGAAAGCTGGTTGGAATGAATCATCGTGTAAAAGAGACAAACCCATAGGCAGCGGAGGTGTACGTTCGTTTCAAACTGTCCCTTCTTTCCCGAGTCTACGTTCCTTGCAGAGGCCTGTGAAAATGGGGAACAGGAGAAACGTCACTCTGCAATAACAGCTTATTACTGACCAACACGGACGAGAATGTCCGAAGCTCAATTCTTCCGAACGAAGGCACTGACGTCACAAAATATATTCTCCGGTGTCATAAAGTTTTGATTGTCCTAGAAATGTCGTCAGTCCAGGAAATCGAACGTTTGCTCGGAAGCTCCATTTGCTGCGGTACTGGAACCAAAATCATCGTTATGACTCGCAGTGGTTGAACAGATGGATGAGGATCAAGCTCCCCTACTTTTTAACAAGCACGCTTTCCCTGGGCAGCCTCCAGACGACCGCTATGAGAAGAGCAAGATCACATGGCTGAGGAAATTACAGATTTGTTTAAATAATCACCTCGGAACTAGAATTAGAGAAGCCTGTATGTAGTTGTTATGTGGCGGAGTCCCCTATATAACCAGTCCGACCAATATTTCCGACAGCTTCTTTGAGAAAGGCCTAAAACCTCATTGCTACCAATCCAACCCAATTACACTAAGCACTTTACATTACCTAGTCCTAGCCAACAAAAGAATTGACGGGAAATCAGACATTAAGCACGCTGATTTAAGTTACTAGAGCCCACTGGAGAATGCCCGGACCAGCTCATTTAAACTAAATTTTAGGCTGTGTTCGTTTCCGGAAAAATATTTTTCCGGAAAACATTTTTCGCGTTTTCCGGTGTTCGGGGGCGGAAAATGTGGGAAATCATTTTCCTTCCCCACCCCCAAATCCTTCATTGTTTTGAGGAAAATTGCCCATGGGAGGGAAAATCATTTTCCTTCCTCTTTTCACAAAGAGGAAATCATTTTCCCCCAAAGTGAAGGCAAAATTGCCCATGGGAGGGAAAATGTTTTCTGTGGGAGAGGAAGTTGATCGCCGGTCATCGCCATCGGCCGCCGGTTGCCGCCGCCGCCGCCGGTCGTCGCCACCGGCCGCGTGGTCGCCCGCCGCCCGGCCGCCGGTCGCCGCCACCGCCGGCATTCGACGGTCGCCACCGCTGATCGACGGCCACCGGCGAGCGACGCCGATCGCCGCCACCGGTCCGGGCGGCCACCGCTCGATCGTCGACGGCCGTCGGCCGCCTGGCCACCGCTTGGTTGCTCGGCGCCGGCCACCGGCCGTTAGTCGCTGGTCTCACCGCCGCGCCGGCCGCTGACACCGCCTCCGGTTGTTTGCCGCCGGCCACTGCTTATCGGCTGGCCGGCTGCCGGCCGGCTGGCTTGGCTGCTTGGTCCACCGCTGATCGCCGCCCGTCGCCACTGCCGCTACCGACCGCCGCTCGCCGGCTGACCGCCGCGGTTGCCGATCGCCGCCGCCGGTCGCCGAATGCCGCCGGATCGGCGGTCGCCGAACACCAAAAAATATTTTCCGAAACTTTTTTAGATTTTAGCCAAATACCAGAAAATTGTGTTCCAGAAAAATATTTTTCAGGAAAATGACTTTTGGGAAAATATTTTCCAAAAGGAGAATATTTTCCGCCAAACGAACGGAGCCTTAGTCATGGAGTTCTATCACAGATTCAAACCATATACCTTAAGGCGGGCTAATGCAAAGGCATGGAAATTTACATCCACCAAAATCCCTGCAGGTCCAAACATAAAGTCGCCGCCAAAGTGAGCAACTAGTTCAAGGTTGGCCTGCCTCGAGACTCGAAACAACAGAAAATTGTGAACACTGCCAATATATGCATTCAACAACATCATATCCAAGCAAGGACAAATCTAATGTACGCAACTAGGCTAGAGTATCTTAGTGGATTCTGAAAAGGTTCTACTGTGATGCAAAATAAGGTTGGTGTCAATAACCCTCAAACCACAGTCGCTCCCAGGAGAAAGAAAAAGTATGGAAATCTGGGAGAGCATCCAGACACAAAAGTACCTAAGGTGATGGAGAACTATAGCAACAACCTTCGAAGACTTGCAAAAGGCATGCCAAATGGAGATTTAGTTTTAGATGATAATCCGACTTATTTTCTTTATTAGATTAATAACTTTCCTTTTCTTTCCTGACCCTTCTTCCAAGGTCTCCCAAACGCTCATCAATTTCTGTCACACTTATCAGCCAACTTAAACCCACAGTACTGTTCACAGCCCTATAACAGTACTTCCAAATCTAATTCAAGCAAATCAGATTGGCCCACATCAATTTTTTATCAGAGCAAGATTCAACACATGACAACACCATCCAGAAAAACCTTTTCGTGGAAAAATCACTGAGGAGCAGAGTGATGAAATTTTATTGAAGATATTGGAAGAACTTGGACATTTGACAATCGATTGAGTTCGGTTGAAAGTCAAATTTGTCAAGGCAATCATGTCAACATATTCTGGAAGCAGTGAAGAGGTCCCCGAAGAAGGTGAAAATCAAAATAATGAACATCCTCTGGATGCATCCCAAAGCCATGTTGATCAAGGACAGAGCTTGTCGAGCTCCTTTGCTTGATTGGACCAAATGAGCGAGCCATAGAACGAGCTAAGCCAACTGTCCTGCTGCTGATTTGGCCCTGCGCTAATTCAGGAGCTTCTTCTTTAGTCTAGGATTCTAAATAAAAATCAACTCAAAATAAGCGGCTGGGCGAGAACAAGAAGCGGTCATCGTCCGGAGGCCGGTAGCTCTACTAAGCGAAGAACCACTTGCTGCCTTTTCTTGGTGAATAACATGTGCAGGTAGACTAGGAGAGGAGAAGCAAGCTACCCTCGCCTACCTCCCATCTATATCTATAGGCGGGGATAATACTCAAAAAGACATCTATACAACATCACCAGCTTTGTCCGATTGGCTGGCTACCATAGAAGATGTTTCCCCATCTGCTTTTTGAAGTCATCATATGCTTTTTTCCTGCAGAAATTGTGCATTTACAGACTAAGCTCTAAAAAATCAAATCTGAAGAGCATCCACTGCTTCAATGGATCATCTTCATGATCACAATTTTTATTGATCAATAACAAAGTAAATATACCAGTCCTAAGAAATGATAATCACATCATAACCAACCAAATGCTATTGAAATTCCGTCTTTCTTCCATATTCAAATCAGTATCTCTAAGAACATGAAATTTACAAGCTAAATCACTTGATCAGTAAAGCCATAATTCAAGAACAATATCAAACCATCACACAAAGCAGTACTTCTTTAAATCTGTATACAACTTTACACTTAATATTTGAGAAAAAATGCATCCAATTAGAAGCTTCCTTGACCAGCAAGACATGAATAGAAAGGGTTGAAACCAACCTGTCCAACCAATTTAAGCATCACTACTAGGTTAATATGAAGAATGAAAACTACAGTAGAGAAGTCACTGATAGTGATGAGATGTTAGGCTGGAACTTCAACTGAACTTGTGTGCATCCATCGGCGCCCAAGCTTACCACTTACCTGAAGAAGATGGCTCTGTTGCCTGCTGCTAAAGAATCAGAGAGCTTGAAGGTGGAGTCTTCTCTGGAAAAGTTGCATTGGCTTTCAAAACTGCATTAATTAGCAAATAGGTATAAAAAAGAGGATGCACTAATGGGGTGAGAGACAAGGAATTACCTCCACTATGTTCTCCCGGTCAAAGAGCGCCAGTGGGGAGCACCAAAAGAAAAATTTTCAGAATTACTCTGGCCAAACAGATAATTAACAAATGCTCTTCATGACCGGAGACGATCAAGGAAATGGAAAAGGCCTCATAAAGTCCATATGATGAAAACCATTCCTGAGAAAGAAGAAAAAACACTGACATCTTCCATCGGCAGCATTAATTGTCGCTCCGATTCCATTTCATGGCCCAAGATTTTTCTTTTCCTAAAAGTAGGACTATACACGATACCACATCCCTTTGCATTTTACAATAATACTGCAGAAGTCATCTAAGTTTCTCTACTAGCAAAGTCATCTCTCTTTTACTACTCAGTTGAAAGCTAGACGTCTGAAAAGGGAAAAATTCTTATCGCAAAGAGAGAACATGTTTCACCCTTGTGCCACATAAAGTCGTTCATCATCTTGCTCTTCTTTGCAATCATCACCCTTCTTTTCAAGATTCGATCCCAAAAGTAACTGTCTACTTTCGATACCATTGTCGCTGCTACTGTGCAAGGACAGCTGATCCATTCGGACAGTATTCCTCTTGTAGTTCCAAACGAGCATTGAAATGTACTCCTGAGGGCACACAAGACCTTGTTCTCGAATGCAACTCCTTTGCTCTTCCAAAGTCTTCGAGTCATCAAGCCTTATGTATTCCATTAATGCCTTCTCATGATCAGGTCTCCAATTACAAGGGAAAGGAGAATAATCAGTTTCAGGAACAAGAGACATTCTAGTATACTGGAGACCGTCAATAGACTCAGCAAGACCCATCCTCAGCAAATTATGGTAGTCGGGAGACTGTCCTTTCTTTTCCTTTAATGGACGACTCAGGTTTCTTGCACCAATCTTGTACACCTTAGCTCGCGAACGGAGTTTGTACTTGGCAGCATATAGCTTTGCAAGAGAACCCCTAATTATGTATGAACAGAAGTTCACAATTTTCTTACGGTTGTCAGCATACCGATACCACTCAACCATTGTGGACAAAAACTTGTTCATTTGCGCATTTGTGTGAGCCTGCGTGGCATGGAACATTCTGAAACAAGGTTGCGGATCAGGATCTCTGTCACCCTTGATAAAATTCAACTTCCTGAACTGCCTGATACATTGCTTCAAGCTCGCTGTCACTGACAAAAGGGTGCCCACACCCTTCTCACTAATTATCTTTCCCCCAGTCGCAGTGTAACGTAAAGTTGGATAAACAACCCTCCGGCACAAGACATGATCAAGGAACATTATGCCCTTCGTGATGTGCTCAATAGGGAGGCTCTCATTGTCAAGCTTAAGCATATATTTCTGATCACAAAATTCTATCAATTGCTTTCTCAATGTTGCCGCATCCGCTCTTGGGCCCCGAACACCGATCAAAATGTGACCACCAAATCGCACGTAGTCCATCTTCCGAGTTTTATCAGGCCCGCTTGTCGGAACAAACTCTGGCCAAGATGTATTCCCATGCTCTGCTTCCCCTTCTGGGCTATTCCATATAACGTCACTTTTAGATGGACGGTAAAATTCCTTTATCTTACTCTCCATCCAACGGTCTAACTCATCGAGGCATATATTAGCCAAAAGTGGGCTAAGAATTCCACAATGTCCCCAATTAGGAAGCTTCCCCGCCTCCTCGGGTGCAAACCCGAAAAATGTATCTAACCAGTAAGGGTCGGGCTTTGGTTCATCTTCTGCTAACACCCTCTTCTTTTGATACTTCCGCTTCTTCTTTTTCTTCTGTTCACCATCATCAGGCTTACTCGTTATGACTGGTGTTATTAACGCTGCCTTCACCAAATCAACTATCTTCTTATCTCTAACATCCCTCATCAAAGAACCTATAACTAACCCAACCTTCATCCCATCCAATATGGTACTCAAATCCCCCTTTATATACCACAAATACCCTGCAAAATTCCTCCTAATCACCCTCAACACCGTATGCGCATTCCTCCCGGGCCTAAAAGCAAATGACTTCTGTGAAAACCTGGCTTCATAAATTGGCTCCAAAATCATTAGCAAAACCTCCTGCACGATCTTATCCTGAAATGGGGTCGGCTGTGTGGTAGTCAAGATAGCCTTAATCTTCCTCTTTGACAACGACTGATACTCCGTCTTATCCCTCGGTGACTTAATGAAAAACTCCAACCTAGAACCCCATCTAAACCTATTATCAAGAACAGCATTTCTCAGCGCCAACAAGTCCTCCAGCTCAGCTCTCTGGATTGAACTCTTAGGCACATAGGAACCAGTCTCATCGATGCACGCCTTCTGATATGCCAACACCCATAACTCGAACCTTCTGAGATAAGAACTCAAATTGGTAGCAATTCTATCAGGTTCTTTGAAGTTCTCGATCCACATTTGTGAACAAACAGACACCCCATCTTCTTTTATCAAATTGGCGGGGTCATCCGGATCAGGCCCGCGACGGTGCATCGGAGTAAACGAGAAAAACCGAAACAAAAAAAAACCACCATCTCTCGAACCCAAAGGACCACGATGAGAGCCAAAAACATCCCTACTAGTAGTGATGGTAACACGCGAGTCCTTGAGAAATTGCCGAGTCAACAAAGATATGCCGCGACGCATTTCAAATTAAACTTATCACACTGGAATTATTCTTGCGCCATCGACTCCCAAGAAACCACCAAGAACAAGAGCAAAGGAGGCATCCAATGGAAGTAAAAAATCGCTTCTTGAGCGTGAAAAATAAAGAACCCGTCACAAGAAATCAATCGCCGGCCCGTGAATAATCTCTACTGCAGCAATCTCTAAACCGTGATCATAGGAACCCTATCTGAGCCGATTGTACCAATGCTGCAACCGAAGAAAGAGTTGAAATCAGCTCAAACAATCCGAAACGCATAAAACAGAGGACACCAATTTTCAGAACAAACCCACGTCATCGCACATTACCAATGTTCACTTGCTCGCACAAGGACATCGAACAGCTCTTAAACTACAGAAGAATATACCGAATGAAAGAACCTTTGGCAAAAAAAAACTCCGTGCGATAAGCTGAGACAGAACAACACGAGCAGCGGAGAGCCTATCGAAGGACCGGTTCCACTCACCATTCAATCCCGCGGTGTCGGAGTAGACAAGCAGAGAGCATCAACGGAAGGGAGCTCCAACACATAATAAGCATTCACTCTCCCCGAGGGAAAACCGAACAGAAAGCATCGCTATCCAGAACTCACGCACGTCTTCCCGCAGAGAGGAACAAAGAAGAAGAAGAAGAAGAAGAAGAAGAAGAGGCAAAGGGAAGAGACGGGAAGGAGGAGGGGCGGTGCCGACGGGGCGGGAACGGAACGGCGAAGGGCGGTTGATCGCCGGCGAGACTGAGGGGCGGTGGAAGGAGCGAGGGTTGTGTTTGTGTTGAAGGGGAGTTTTTCGGTTTTGCCGTTTTGAGCTTTGGGAGTGTCGTTCCGGAAGTGTTCTGGGTCAGGGGCATGGAGGACAAGGACTCCCCGTTTCGCTCCAAAACGACACCCACATGTTTGGACATCTTTCGGGTTTTGAGACAAGGTTTCCTTTTAAGCTGGATTTTAAGCAAATCTTTTCTTTTCTTTTCTTTTTCTTTCGTATTGGATAGCAAATTGCTTATATTCTGATGAAAAAGAGCTGCGCGAGCTTTTCTTTTCTATATAAAATAGATAAATAGATGCTAGGAATAGGCGATTGGTATCGATGATTATTGAGTTTTCACGCCCGTGATAAAAACATTAGTTTGAGCAAGAATTATCGTCATTTTTGAACAAGGCCATTGTCACTGTCCCACCACAGTGCTAATAGAAGTAGAGTCGATATTATCCTACACCATTGTACGATGGAAACGAAGACACGGACAAACCAAATAATAGTTGAAAGATCCATGCATCGCATGTGTTCACAATTTTCTTCGTCGAATTTTCATTTACTAATGCAATGTGGTAGAACTATTTAACACGTATAAAAGTTTTGTTTAATGTTACACCAAATATTTTATATATAATCAACGGAGCAACAAAAACTTATGGCTAATGTCCATTGAGGCCAGATCTAGATCAGACCTGAGTATAAAGAGGTGGGTCCCAAGTCCTTCAAGGCCGGGCTTGACACCCCGATGTTCATGCTAGAGTCAATGGCGGCCATGCTCGACTACTCGGATCCTGCACCCAAATCACCGACACTCGAGCCTAGTCAATCAAGATTGGGCACCGGTCCCTAGCGCCCGTGCTCAAGTTCCAAACGATTGGACTCGAGAAACCCGACTCCTCCAATTGGAACCTCAGCAGGTGGTTGGAGTCCCCGTGGTCGGGGCCTAGTCTTTGACCGAGGCGGGGTCCTCAACACCCAGATTCCGGACCCTAGCGGCTAGCCCTAGGTCCCTCAAGGCTTGACCCAAGACCTCAGCGACCCATGCCCGAGTTTTCAACCATCGTGCCTAAGTATCCAGGACCTCGATGGCCGAACCCAGGTCTAATAAAATGAGATGAGCCTTAACTTTATCAATTCAAAATCAAGGTATTCAATTACTTCAAAAGTTTAGTTAATGAATGACTCTATTTGTATTTTCTACCAAATTACTAGATCCTTGCCGGTAGACTGCGATAAACATATACACGCATCGTGAATAGTGCATGCCTCTTTAGGAAAACAAAAATTTTCCGTTCCAAACAACGAAGAATAATTCCCAATTCATTTTCAAATTTCGATCAAACACCGAAAAATATTGCTATTTCCTTAAAAAATGACTTTTTCAAAAAAAAATTTCAGAAGTGTCAAAATTCCCGCACAGTAAACAGAGCATATAATTAAAAACTAAAATTAAAGAATACCAAGAAGCTCGATATAATGTACATAGCTGTTGTTAGCTTCGAGATAAGTAACAAGTCCAAATAATCCCAGAAATCAATACACAAGATCACGGCCATGCTCCACTAAGATTCTGTGGGATGAGTCGTCCTCTGCGACGAAGAGTAGTAATGAGATTCAAGCTCTTTGAGACTGGCAGCTGCCTCCTCGGCAATTCTAGACAATGTTCGATCCGATTTTTCAGCTTGTTGGTTGAACTCAACGATTCTCTGTTCGACATGGTCATTCAGAGATGCGAATCCCGAAAATATGGCAGTCTGCTTCAGCTCCGATACCAATTTCAGCAGCGAATCAGCTGCTTGAACCTGTTTTTGGTACATGCATCAGATGGAGGAGGAGACGAATACATTAGCACAGAGAAGCTGCTTCTTTGATAAGCTTCAGAAAGTAAAGAAGATCAATCCAGGGTTAACATTTCTGATGCGTTGCGAGTAGATGCTCCCACCGCTTAATAACATTCCTTGAAAAGTTTTTAGTCCTTAACCGCACACATCACCTATTCAAGTAACTAATCTCAAGGTTATGCCACTTATTTTCCCTCAAGTTCATTTAAACTATAGAAAGATGCTGTCGCCACTTCATCATATTCCTTGAAAAGTTAATAATCCTAAGCCACCTGCATCGCCGATTCGAGTAACTAATTTTGGAGTGACCACTTGTGTTCCCTCAAGTTCATTTAAACTATACAGAAAATCCAGATTGTGAGGGTTGTTTCGCATTATGGTTATTGCTTATTGCTAATACATGTGTGGCGAATGCAATCTCTGAGATAATGAAATGCCTATTATCATGAAAGAGAAATTCTACATCCATTTTCTAGAAGTCTCACAGCTCTGCAATTGTGAGTCTCTCATGGATTCAGCAGAGATATACTAAATTGACACGCAGCAAGAATATATATATGTGTGTGTGTGTGCGCGCGCGCGCGAACATGAACTGCTTTTTGGGTTAATGAGCACATTCAACTTCTTTTGTAGGTTACAATAACTAAATGGCCAAACCTCACTTCAGATTGAAGTCCAAATCTTACCATTCTTGCTGCGCGCATCTCCATCATGAAAGCTTCTTGTGAGTTTCTGACCGGAGGGTCATTCACCTGCCGTAAGTGAGAATACTGAGTCAATATCATGATGGATGCTCTTCACATATCAAACCCTTCCCAGTTTGTAAATTTCAAATCTAAGATGAAAGTACAGAACAACTGTTCTTTTATTTTTTTATAAGAGTAATATCTATTCGTATGTTATGTGTAAAAAAAAAAATCTCTCGGAGTGTACATGCTACTTGAATCACTAGGGTGGGAAAGACAGACTTTACTTTTATCATCTATTTGATCTAAGCTCATATTTTCGAAAGCATCAATACCAGGAGGTAAGCATCCACATTTTGAATATTATCCATACTTTATCAGTTTGTATTCCCTCACCATGACATCTTGAAAATTTCTGATTAGGTCTCCATTCTTCACTATTAAAAGGTCCATCACAAAAACCTTCAAAGATCTCAAACAGATTTCTTTCCATTTGGAAAATAAAAACACTTTCACTCCATTGATGAAGAACGAGATCACGGAAACATTTACTCTTTCCCAATTTCCACAGCTTACAAGAGCTTAAGCAACCTTCCCTCTTATCTATCGATATAACCTCACGATACCTTAGTCCAGTATCAAGTCGATACATTTAAAGCAGATGTAGACCTCACACTACATGGTAGTCAATAAGTGACAAAGAGACAGTTTATTGATGTTCAATCTAACCTCACACAAGCGAAAAGGACAGATAATCTTAACCATTGTTATGATTAATACTGAGAAAGGGATAAAGATTTCCAGACTCGAAGGGGCAAGGAGGAAAGAATACACACTCTGGCGACTTTCACAAGCTGACTGAAATTGTCGACAATGTGGCCAATGTCGGTTTCAACTCTCTGTAAGAGCGCCCTCTGCTTCTGGACAGCTGCAGCTGCTGCAGCAGCCGTGGGCCCACTCCCACTACCTAGTCCTGCTCCTGCCCCCCCTCCTCTGTTCATTATCTACATATGCAAGTTAACACACACTTGATCTTCAGCCAGAAGGCAATACAGTTCTGTACATGTAAGTTTACAGACACTTTATCACTAATTTGCTAGTTTACGGTTATGAAAAGCAATATATTGCGACGGTGGACCAAGCTACGCCATATAGGTGTTTTCCTCAAGGGAAAAGAGAAAAGGATCGTGAGACATTTGCTACCCCATGTCAAATTGTTCGGTCAAATTTGCAAGGGAAGGGCCAACATGTCAACAACTGCAAACATTGTCCATCCAATTAATCTAGCTAGAATAAGAAGCAGTCCAATCTAGAAACCAACAGAAATGCCAAAATCAAGTCATGGTAATTACTGAAAAAACAAAGGGCAAGAGAAAGCAAGATAGAGAACTTCAACCATGTCCATAAACTGAAAAAACTATATCAAATTCTTAAATAAAAGATATTGCAATGCAAATTACAACTAATAAACATCAAGTCACCGCAAACTAAAAGTAAATCTTGAACTCCCAAGATGAATATAAACCCGAAAGCCACAGATATTGAAGCTAAAGTCAGACAGCGAGCTGCCTCGGCAAAGCAATTACACGCAAGAAAAATCAACATGTGATAAGAAAAGGCCACAAAACCGATCGTCTGATTCGACGAAGATAGCAGAAACAGCAAACAAATCGAATCTCGCCTCGCCGTACACAGCTTTCGACAAGGAATTCAGCATTCGCGACGCGAAAAGCCCCCCGGAGAAAACTCCCCACATAGTCTCGGAGAAATGCTCCCACAACCTGCTTTTAGGGTTATTCTTGGCGCGCTGCATCTGAAGGAAAGCATCCTACACATCAAGTCCATTTTTCTTTTTCCTGATCTCAACACTCGCTCTCGCTCATCAGGTCGAGATACTATGAAAATGAACGTCGTCACGGTTCCGTTCGATGCCTTCTTGCCCCCTTCTACCACACACCAATTTCAACAGTCCCTGCCGATACGCCACTGAAAACCCTAACGAAAATGAAGCTGGAAGCCCGAAGAAAACCAAAGCTCCGCTCCATTTCTCGGCCGCGCGCGTCACTGGCAGTACGAGATTTCTCCTGGGGGTTTTCGGCGATCGGAGCCCCTTGATTGCGACATGCTGAGCTTGGTGTAGAGAGAGAGAGAGAGAGAGAGAGAGAGAACGGACCTGTCGTCGTCGGCGGCGGCGGCGGCGGCGGCGGCGGCGGCGGCGAGAGGTTCGTCGTTTAAGGGACCGGAGGCGAGCAGCGGAGGGCGACGGTGCGCAGGAAGGTTGGACGGCTGCGATGCGAATAGTGAGCCAAATCGTGGAGGTCGTTCTAGAGGACTAATGTTTTATGAGGCAAGTAATCTAAAAAACAATACATAAATTTTACTTATGGAGTAAATCTACTCGCTAGTGGTGAAAATGGCGCCCCTTATTTCACTGAAAACTTTACGATAAAGAGAAATATTTTTTATGAAAATTATTTCCAACGGAAGCGATTAGCTTTCATTTGTTTAGCAGTGTTTAGAGAAGGTGATTTCCTTTCTGCCAAAATGAAAAGTCGTTTCCCTCATATAAATTCGTTATTTTCGGTTCGTGGAAAACATTTTTTCGTAAATCGTGTAGTTTTCTGTCATCCAAACATTAGAAAATCGGAAAACGGTCCTTCGAAGAAACGGACCGTGACATAAAAGTGAAAGGATAATGTCGAAAGATATTGCGAAAAATCCAAAGGAAAGATCAAACGAAAAATCAATAAGAGTCTCGGCGTGGTTGAGCATTCCTTCGTCTTCCTTTAGTTCTTGTATTCGCAGTTTCTTGATCTTCCTCTTCTTCTTGCATGATCGTACCTTCTATTAATATGGCAGAGGTCGAAACCGAGAGATGGGACTTTGGCCATGAGATTTACTTCATGAATTTGCTAATCGCTTCGTCTAACGAGATTGTTCGACTCTTTATCGTCGAACCAGCTGCGCGCGGTCCATTATATTTTTCAGAACTCCAAACGGGCGTATTATCGACAGGAATAAGAAATCCAACTTCATTCAAGAGACTCGCTCTGCAGGGTTTCATCCTTTCAAGTCAATCTTCAGCACAGAGGAGCGATTCTTCTTCATTTACTACTGTGATAGAACGGCACATGATAAAGTGAGATTACTCCGGCATAAGCTATAGATTGGTACAGTCGGTACATTCATTGACGCAGCTAAATGCAAGTGCCGGAAATCTTCTCGATGAATCGATAACAAATAACTGTATCTACTGCTGGAAAGGTTTGCTTATGTAGTTATTTCAACCGTGTAGAGCTTCCATGCACATATTCGTCGCTCCGAGCAGAGCCGAAAGCCAAACTACAGTCACTCAGAAAATTTGGAGGAGTTTGCACGGCCAAAGGCTGTCATGACAGGCAGTGTTCTTGGCAGCCAAAGGCTGTTGCTCGAAGAAAACACGAAAATATTTAAGGCATCTGCGCGGCCAACGGACGGTAAGACTCGAGATGCTCCAATATTTCTCGTGACAAAGTAGAAATCCATACTTGAAATCCATATCAAACAACATATTCTAAAGGTACCTGAAAGCACTCTGCATCTCCTCTCTCCTGCAAGAAAAGTTCGATGTTTTTTTCTTCACTCTCTCTATATATAGTCTACATGTATTGTCCTCATTAGAGCAGAAGTTTAAGATGACAAGATGACCCTATGATGTATTCTAGTTCCAGATACATCTCGGAGGCTTCCTCAGGAAAATCAACCACGAGTCACCATTCTCAATAGCAAAGAAAAAAGAGAGAAAACGATCATCATAGAACAGAAGCATGTGAGTTCTTCTCCCTATCACATGGCCAAATATAGTATAATAAGCTTTTATGGTGGCGAATCCATTTTGAAAAACACAAACGAATTATTGTGGCTTGTGGAAGTGCTAACATCATATGACCGTCGCATAATAAGCCGTCAAATAAGAGAGCTCGAGCACAGCGGAAAATGCAGCACATCAATGTTTGATGGAAAAACGCAGTGCCTGATCGAAGTTGCATGATACGGACTCGGGATCGGTGTATTGATCAGAACAGAAATCAGACAATGATTGCCCATTTGACGCTCGTTGCAACACCGACACACAGATAGGGGAAATGCGCTATTATTGCTACTTTTTAGTTACCGACACCGACATCGCTTGCTGCAGCTGCAACTCCCCTGTCAATCTTTCAAGCCTCTGCCCAAAAGGAAGGAGCAGTATGCGACTGCACGCGTCCACGCTCAAGTCCCATCGGCTTATCTTCTCAACATGCACCCACCGGGCTTCAAGGCTACAAATCTCCCATTCAAACAAAAGAGCCAGCCATCTCTCCTCCTCCACCAAGTATCATTCTGATATTGAGTATCCATCCCAGCCCACCCGGTGTACTGCTAGTAAATCTGTCCCAAACTTCTTCTGAATGACAAAAACGAGTGAACAATAAAGAAATTAAAATGCCAAAAATGTTTCATGATTTCATGCACAAAGCACTGGCAAATTGAATTATCTAATAACAATCTTTTTTTTGTTAGTTTTATGTTAGTTCTGTGATCCAGTTACCGTTTATGCGTTTTCACTAAAAGAATAAAAAAAATAAAAGAATCGAGAAATTAGAATCAAAAGCTAGCAAAAGATTTCAAAGCACAAACTTGCCTGTCCAAGCCCACAAGGTCGGGCCTTCCAACAGAGAAGTTCCATGCCCACGAGGTGGAGTGCACACTGCACAGAAATTTGACCGCAGGCAGTGTCTTAGCCAAAAGAGAAAACGACCGACTGGTGCATCATGGAGTTGTACATATGTTCAAGTCGAGGAAAGCAAAAAGTAGCAAAATTTACCTTTCAGAAAAGCCTCCAACTTTTTATCGAAGATAGAAGATAGACCGAATATCAGTTGTGCAGCAAGATCTTCACTCATAAGTCGGTATCATTCTTGAAGGGATTTCCACAATATTCTGACCAGAGGTGCGAGCAACATAACTGCCGGCTATTGTTCTCCGCAGAAATTGTACATATCGATTTCAAATGTATAATTTGTTGGATCTGAAAATTCGGTCAATGAAGGGCAGTTGGATAAAGTGAGCATTCTAAGACGAGGCAAATTTTCCAGCCCATCAATTGTTTGAACATTGCAGTGGGATATTTTCAGAAGTTCCAATAGCCTCAAATCTTCAAGATTGATAATCTCTGCCAAGCGACAGCATTCGAGTTCTAATTCAGACAGACCTCTCACTGCAGAAAATTGTGAAACTTGAATGATGCAGTGCTGAAGGCACAATACCGATAAGCTAGAGGGTAGCTCTCGGAGGTCAAGCAAGTTTGGGTAGTGCAAAACGAGTTTTCTAAGTTGAAGTTCACTAAAATCTTCAGGTAGCGTGGTAATCTTTGAGAGGCACAACTCCAAGGTTTCTAGATTCGCTAGTCTAGTTAACCATCCAATTTGTGGTGGCTCAGAGGAAGAATTCTGCATTGGATCACTACGATCACCCAAGTACAGCTCCTTCAAGTTTCTCAAGTAAGAAATGTCTGGCACCGTCCTCATTTTTTTGGATCCCCAGCGAAGAATGCTTAAACTAGATGGAAGTCTTCGCAAAGCCCGAAGTTGGTCACATTCACTTAAATCTAGTTGTTGGAGATGAGAGAGCAATGAAAGGGTTTCTTCGTCACAAAACCTGCCATCACTCCAGGGTAGGCCAGAAATCTTGGTACACGATAATCTCAAGATTTTCAATGAGGATAATTCACTGATATCACAGTAAATCTGCCCCTTCAGATTCCTGCATTGTGAAAGATCTATCTCTTCCAGCCTTTCTAGATTTTTTATATCTTGGGGGAATTCTCTTAAGTGAGTATTCTCCATCTTCAGCACTTTCAAATTTTTCAAATGCTTGACAGACCTAGGTAATCTAGCAATCTTGGTGCTTGATAGATCCATGACTTCCAGTAACTTAAGATTCCCAATGGAATGAGGAAGCTGAGGTAAATTCGGACAATTTCCTAGAAGCAGGCTCCGAAGTTTCTTTAAGGATCCAATAGAATCTGGGATGCTATCAATAGCAGCACCATCCAGTCGAAGATGCAAAAGAGATTCCAAGTGACCAATAGAGTCTGATATATGAGCCAAGTTTTTACATTGGCAAGCGCTCAGAGTCTTAAGTTTCTTCATGGAGGCTGGTTCGAAATCAATCTCACTAATGGCAGTTCCATCAATCAGAAGTTCTTCCAAAGCTTTCATATCACACAGTTCTCGCGGCAAGTCTCTGACAGATCTGCAGAACTTAAGATTTAAGGAGACTAAGTTCTTTAGATTACCTACCAACCGACCAATTCCGGATAACACGGAACAACGTTCCAGGACTAATCTCTCTACATACATCGATGTATGGAAGTCTGGAAAAGCATTCAGGTTACGACAGCTACTTAGGTTCAAAACTTTCAATTCCTTTGCCTTCTGCAAGAAAAGAGGATAGAAAAGGCTCAGTTGGTGCTAGCTATTCTAATAATCCCAGAATACATAAGCAAATATACACTTTACCTTCAGGATTTGTCCCCATACTTGTGAATCTCCAGTGACCAAACTGCGAGATAGATCAAGAATGACAAGGTTCTCCATATGGAAAATAAGTAGTTCAGAGATGTGGCTGCACCCTTGCCAATCAAGCCACCTTAAATTTGAAAGAACATTCTGAGAACTCTCTCCAACATTGGCCTTGTCCAGTCTCAAAAACCTCAAGCTCCGTAGATGGCCAAATCCTTCACATCTAAAACATTCACTTTGGCCCTCATCAAATGTGAGACCAAGGGCTTCCACCTTTCTAGCACTCTGCAAATCGAGGGAACTGAATAAATACAAAGGGAAATGAAATATAGCCATTCACACTTCATTTTGGGAAAGAAAAATTAAGAAAAGGCAGTGTGTTTAAAGATTGTCGACTGTATTTAAACTAAAAAATCTTATGCTTGAAAAGTTTACCTCCTCTCCATTGAGCGTGGAAAGTGCATCAATGTGATTCCATAACCTACTGCGCTTTTGAGGATCATCGGGATTTTCCCTCCTAACAATTTCCCTGCCAAATTCTCTTAGTTGATTGTGCATCCATAGTTCATTGTTTTCTCCTATTTTGACCAAACCCATGTCACGGAGAAATTTGATTCCTCTTGAAGGATAATACTCACATGCACGCCACATGTATGAGGGAATTCTCTCATCCATTCCTATGAAAAAACATGCTATATCAAGAAATATCTTTCTCGTCTCTATATCTAAAGAGTTATAGCTTATCTCAATCGCTTCTTGGACTTTGTTTTCTGGCTTTATTCTTAGTCTATCCAATGTATCTTGCCATATTTGTATTTCCCCCTTATTCTTATGCAAGAATGATGCTGTTACTTCGATAGCCAAAGGAAGCCCTCCGGTTGTGTCAACAATGTCTTTGGACAGAGAATCATACTCATCCTCCTCTTCGTGAGGATACCCACCAAAAGCATGCTTGCGGAAAAGTTGAAGAGCTTCATGAGACCCCATTTCTCCAACCTCATACTTATCAGCCACTCCATCCCCATAATCATCAAGAACATCAATTCTTCCAACTGTCATGAGAATCCTACTCCCTGGGCCAAACCAACGTAGATCCCCAACTAAATGCTTGATTTGGTCAAAATCATGCACATCATCAAGGAGAATGAGAACTTTCATATTGCTAAATGAATTTGCTATGACTTTGGTACCTTCGTCACGAGTACTTAGCCTTTTAAGTTCTTGCTTTCGGAGGTCTGATATTAACTGTTCTTGCAGGCCCATGAGTCTATTGGATTGAACATTTTCTCGAATATTTGAAAGAAAACTACAACGTTGAAAGAGATGATGGATTTTGTTGTACACAACCTTTGCAACGGTAGTCTTGCCAATCCCTGGCATGCCCCATATTCCAAGAACACGTACATCTTTGTCACATAGTTCCGTCGCTCGCTCATTGGCACAGATGACACCAAACTTTCTCATAACCTCCTGTACGTGGGGTTCAATGCCCACTAAACCATCAGTCACATCTAAATCATTCTTCTTCAACAACTCTAGAATATACGAAACAACTATCTCTATGAGTGCACCTTGATGCCTGCCAAATGTGAATGATGAAAATGAGGAATCGTTGATGAGATTACAAAATAACTTACAACAGTCTATGAAAATTACGAAGGAGATAATCCAGTTAAACCGTACTAAATTGACCAACAAGGACAATGCAGTGGGCAACAAGAAGGGTATGGGAAGTACATTTACCTCGTTATCGAATCTAGTCCCATCCAATTTATGATTTCGAAAACATTGTGCTTGGCAAAATTCTCATAAAGCTAAAGCTAATAACATTAAAAGGACAGTAAAAAGTTGATTACCCATTGTTTGTATTCCGCAGATCATATCCCTTCATCTCAGTAATCTCTCGGAGAGCCTGCTTCCATTTAGCAATGACCTCACGATCAATTTTACGGTTCTCATGCTTACGGAAGGACTCCCCAACACATCCACGTTGGTATTTTAAGTCGGTAGGGTTAACATCATAGAAAATGGGCACGATCAGGTGAGTGTCTGCTTTTTCGCATTCCATCATCTGTGCCAATTCCTTGAGACAACGCCGACTGGATGCATAATCCTTGGAGATAATAGGTATTGATATCTTGGATTGCTTTATGGATTGAACCAATGCATCATGGATCTTTTCTCCAGGACGAAGATCATTATTGTCTCTAAAGACAATGATCCCTGCATTTTTCAGGCTGGTGTAGAGGAAATCTGTAAATCCCTGACGAGTATCGGGACCTCTAAAACTCAAGAACACGTCATAATTGGCTCTTGATGATGAGGAGGAGGACGATGACGACGAAGAAGACGACGACGGTGGCAGTGGTGGTGAAGAGACCAAATCCTGTAAAATGAAAGAACCGAACTCTATCACAAGCAACCACTGCAGTTTAGATAATTCCCGCGCAGACTTGCAAAAGCAAAAAGTAGAGGCATAAGGCTGACTGGTTTGACTAGGATGTTCTAATCTGAGACAACAGAGTTGCTTTAGAAAAAAAAAAATCAAAAGAAGAAGAGTTGACCCCATTGGATCTAGGCTCATTGCTGATTTTCTGAAAAAGATATGAGATGCAGCTGATTTGAAGACCAAGTCAAGATCAAGAAACGTTCCAGTAAATCCTTCATTGCAGTCCAAAGGAAAGATGCAGGTCTAAGCATATACCAGCTAAATCAACAGTCCGTAAACAGACAAAACCCAAAAATACAAAAGAAAAGAAGAAGAAGAAGGAGAAGAAGAGGCGGAGCTAACCGGCTCTCTCCTCTTGCGAGCACCGGCGCTGGCAATAGCTGCAAGAGCAACCGTAGCAATAAAAATTACAGGCTGTGCGGGCGA